TAGCAAGGCCACAACTACCCTGTCCTGGCAATGCTGTCTACAGCGTCTCCTTTGATTTGTTTATTTATCAATTGTCTGAGACTTGTGCTTATGGAGAAAGAATTGTACAGGTCATGTGCCTCTCCTTCAAATGGAAGACAGTGTTAGTGCTGTGCTACCAGGTCAAGGACAGCCTGCCCTTTCCTCTCACCTGAAAAGCAGAAATACCTGCTCCTCTCTGGCCACAAACAGTGAGTGCTGGGGTGGACTCATCAACTATAGGTGAGGCAAACCAAATCCAGCAAGATGGACACCTGGGCCGTGTAGCACCTTCCTCCCACTTCCGTGCAGTATCTTCACTGCTATGCAGCACTAAAGTGTTGGGAAAGTTACAAGCTCAAGGAACAGGGAAGCTGTTATCAGAGTTACTCCTTCTCATCACCCCACCTTGCTCTTGTCCTACTCTAACACGGGCATCTCCACAACAGTGGACTCTTGGCAAGTGGAGCGCCAGGAACAGAAGAATCAATGGCCAGCTCCAGTCTCCAGAGTGTCAGAATTATACCTCAGAGATAATCATAATTGTCCCCAGTTTTCCCCCTTTGGGCTTCCACACTCCACTAGCAATAAGCAACAAGGCTTCCTCAGGAGAGTGAATCCCTTTTGTCAGGAATGATTCCATTTTAATCCAAGAAGCGCTCTAGACCAATAATCCATAAACACGTGAAAGAGGCTCATTTGGCTTTGGCTTGAACATACCCATCCCAAACATCAGTACACGCAGTTTCCAGACCTTTTGTCCTCCAATGGTTTAGCTAATGTGCATATTCCCAAACAGCCTCCAAAACAGATTATTACCAGCAGGCTAGAGAATGACGCAAATGGAAGTCATCCACATAAATGAAACAAGTTGAGCCAAAAGAATCATTTGTGTGGCTTCAATCACAGCGATGGGCAATATCTACAGTGCTAACTTCAAATTGCAGGCATTAAGAATTTACTTTTTTCATGACTCAGGCCCAGGAGGCTCCACTCTTTTCACCTCAAGAGCCCCTACACCAGTCCAAACACACTCAGAGATAGTGACCCCGCTACTGCTCTTGCCCTTCTTCTTTGGTGGTCCGCTGGTGTGCAGTCCATTGCTATAATTAAGACACAAGGGAAAACTAAGCTCCATGTATTTTCATGAGAAATGAGTCAGTAATTTCTTATTGTGCCCCATATTCTCCTAGAGGAAAAAAAATCTAGAGAAGAGGGAGCAACAATTAGCAACTAGACAAGCTTCACAGTGAGTAAGAAGATAACAGACAATGAAGATGAACCCACTAAACCATAATCAGAATTCTACCAAAGGGAATTTTTCTAGGCTTTTCCCAAACCACCGCTTTCTCCTCCCACCCACTGCTTACAGGGGACCAGCGGACTGATCTCTCATTTTTTTATGGTCAGCTTCTATAAGCAAAGTGAATGCAGATGAGACTTAGAATTCACCAGATTTGAGTCCTCAGCACTGACAGGAACTCAAATCATCCACTGCCTGAGCACCATGCCTTCCAGACTGCTCAAATAGAATTAACTTAGATGTAAATAGGAAAACTGTGGTCTACTAAAGCTCAATAACATGGACTAGGGCCCAGTGGTCTTAAGAGGTCATCCCAAAGGGACTAGAAACCAAATTTTCAGTTTTCTCCCACTAATCTCCCACCACAGTGCCACAACAGATATTAAGGGTATTACCCTAGGTATCAAACAAAGCTTTAAAATATTACAAAACATAAATCAAGTCTGTATAGAATTAACTCCTTTATTTGTTTATTTATTTATTTATTTATTTATTTATTTATTTATTTATTTTGGTAGAACTGGGAATTGAACTCAGGCCCTTGCACTTGCCAGGGAAGCGCTTATTCCACTGAGCCATCTCCCCGGCCCCTTATTATTTCCATTACTTGTGATCAAAGGTAATAGTAAGAGCTTTGCTACTAGATCTTCCACCAACTGGAATGCTTCAAATCATGAGCAAGTTTTCTATTATATATCTATTTCATAAATCTGGAAATCAGAAATCACGATCAAGGGAGTCACAATTAAATGAGCTCCAAGCCAATATGCATATGGCCATGGGGCAAGTGCTCTGCTCTGTCCACCTACAAGGTTATCCAGACGTATTACACATGGATTACAGCTCTGCCAATTTTTAATTAGAACCCAGGGAAGCTGAAGAATGACTGCTGTATTTATCTGCAAAATTTTAGTATCACTGCTAGAAACAGCAAATAGTTTATTTTATAAACTCAAATGGTATCTTAAAGTTCAATTTCATTTCCCAAATATGTATCAGTAGCTCTTTCAGACTGATATCCTTCATTTGAGTTACCTAAGCCAAAAGCATATTTTTCTAACATAAAATTTCCTATAAATGCTCTCATAGAGAAAAATATCATTTCTAACATATACTAAAAGTGATATTTAATATACATATATATTTTTCACTACAAAATGGTCCTTTATTTAATCTCCCTTTTTTGTTTTGTTTTGTCAGAGAAGGGTGTTCCATTGTTGTTAGAGAAGCTGTATTTGGAAAAGTCTGTAAAGGACCTTTTCATACTTGGTGCCAGTTCAAATATTATAGGTATTCGAATTCAGCAAAATAACCCAGTATAGTCCAATAGTTCATAATAATAGTGGGTTATCAGCACAACTGGCAATTGTCTGAAGTTGCTGACTTGAGGCTTTTACAGCTCACCATATTAATATGGCTTTACTTTTTATACTTTGTAGTTATACTTTTCTGCTGGATGGTTAACACCAAGTTAAAGCAAGACCTATATAACTGAAAATGTAGCTTTGTATCTGACAAGGTATCAGGATTTACGCTGAAACCATGTATAGCACCTTGTGTATCTTTTGTCGGTGTCAGCCATCTAGATGAGTCACAACCATTGCTTAGGATAGATATACAGCTACTTTCTATTAATCAATGAGAAGAAAGGTTTGTACTAATATTGTTTAGACAAGATATCATTTCTGCATCTTGTCCTCTGAATAACTACTACTAAGACAACACTATGCAATGGTTTTTTGGTGTTTTGTTTTGTTTTTTTTTCAGAACCAGGGATTGAACTGAGGCCCTTGTGCTTGCTAGGGAAGCACTTATTCTACTGAGCTATCTTCCTGGCCCCTAACAATATGCAGTTATTAATTATTGTGACTGTCAGGGCCAGCCCAATAGCTAAGCGGATTAAAGTGCCTGCAAGCAGGCACAGGGGCAGGGGATTTGATCTCTGGGCCTGCTGCCAGCCCTGCCTTTAGGGTGTGCTGAGATGGCAATTGAGACTGGGCATGGGGTGCACACCTGTAATCCCAGCACTTGGGAGGCTGTAAACAGGCAGATCACTATGAGTCTTATCTAGTAGTGAACACCCCGTAGACCCTTCTCTAAAATACAAAAAAAAAAAAAA